TTATTTGCAAAATATTTTTCGAGTCGTCATATCTCATGCCCGGACATGCAAGGTAGTTGAAATATTCACAATTGTTGTGCATAAATGCAGGACAATAGTACATCCATAGATGTGCATGTCGCCGACATATGCATGCAAACATAATTTTTTTTACGCTTTTAAGTAAAACATGCGAGATCATGCACGACTCTTATCCTTGCAAATACTCGCATGTATCACTCTGGCGTGTTCACGCCAGATAGGTGACTCGCATATAAATGCCAACCGTCTTTTAAGACATGAAAGTGGCATAAAATACGACACCAACTATAAACCAAGAAATTTTTCATAAGCGATGGTGAAAGTGAAGCTGGTCTATTAATTAAATAGTTTTGAAACTACGGCTAGTAGACTAAAATAAACCGTGTCAACAGAAAAATAAGAACAAACTTCTGAGAGGATGATCTTTTTGAAGTAAAAAAGAAACACGAAAAAATTACTCTAAGCGCATGGTGCATGCAATGATGATTCCATCTTAGGTTGTGCGGTGAAGCTTTTGCCCACTACTTTAAACCAAGCCTAACTGGTTGACCAGTCCGCCTGGTACCAAGCCTAAATGGAGATTGGATTGATACCAAGCCTAACTGCTACCAGTTCTACCAATCCCTAGTCGGATTGATCACTTAAATTTAAGAATAAGATCTAATTTAATTTATCACTTTTATTCTTTTGGTATTGAATCTGAAAATCGTCATTGTGCTGTATACCGTAAAACTGAACGATTGTATTCATTGTATGTCCACGTATTTTTTTAAAAATTTTTTTCGCCTGATTTACTTCAGCCTGCTTTACAGATATTTGTGTTAGTGCTAATTTTCTTCTGTCTTTGCATTTTTGTCTTTTTGCGCATTATTTGAATTCACAACTGCTCCCTTTTGCAGATATAAGTCAGCATAGATGTATACTGAAATGTCGACATCAAAACCTGTCGAATGGGTCATTTCTTTAATAACAAGATTTGAAGATCAGGTAAATCGTTTAACAAACTTAAAACTTATTACTATTTAACCTTTGTTTCTGTTATTTTAAGTTGCCGATGAAATGCGGGGAATTAACATCATGTATGCGTCTAAATTTAGAACAAAATAAGCATTGTCAAATTTCATTGAGTCGATATAAATTTTCATTGGTTATCAATGGATTAACAGACATTTTGAAAACAATCGATTCAACAGTACGTTACAACTAAATATTTCAAAGAATTCTTCTTTTCTTTCTTTTAGCCTATGTGAGATAGCCGATTTTTTCTGACATAATAGAAGACCACTGATCTTCTAGGAGTTAGAAGACAATGACCTTCTATTTGGCTTTCAAGTCATATAATCGGCAGTGGTCTTCTAACAGGGGGTGGTCTTCTATTAGGGGATGGTCTTCTATTATGGGAGGGGGTTTACATTAACTGCTCCACTTTCTCTAGTTATTAAATGTGGCAGGCGATGGTGTGACTGTTCAGCATGTTCGACAATTAGCATCACATGTCCTATTTGCATTAAGTGTCAATAATTTCAGTACACTATTCTTCAAAGTGGTTTCACGGTAAATACTCATTCTGTTTGTGTACCATAACAGAAAAATTGTAATGTTATTAAATGTTTCATAAAGGAAAAGGAGAGTGAGAGATGGTTACAACTATTTGGAGCTACATTAACATATTTTTAATTATTTTGATTATTTACTTTTTTTATTATTCAGTGATCAACAATAGGTAAACAAAAAACACTCGCCAGTGCTGCTAGTAATCAAATTTACTGTAAAAAACTAACAAAAATTGTTGCTAAACAGTTTGTTCTTATTAACACTGTTACAAAAATTTGCATTTTTCATGGTGAATTTTATCTATGTGCTTGTTCTAGTTTGAAATGTTTGATTGCATCGGGGGATGAGACATGTGAAGCCGGTGACTTGGATTTAATTCAACATATGAATGTTGATATGAGCAAACTAACAAGACTTTTAAATGGTTTGTTTTCAGAGGAGTAACAATTTCACAATGATCATATTATTATTATTCGCATGTGTTTTTGTAGAAGAAGTACAAAAATGGAGATTATTGAAGAAGATACATCATACGGAGCTTGTTAAAAGTGTAGAAAAGGTAAATTATGGAAATGGATTAAATTTACAGATAAAAGGAGCAGCTTATATTTTAAGGCAATATGGAATTGGTTAGATACATATCCAGAAGAATTTACTGATTGAAGGATATGCTAAAGTTTTGAGCTCGAAATGTTGACTTCTCTCAACATTATCGTAAAAATAAGGATAAAAAAGTAGGTGTTCGTGAGGTAAAGATTTCTCGGGCATTTTAAGTGTTTACAAGCTCGGGGTGGTCTCAGAATGAAGTCAAGACTTGGTGTTACAAGTAAACGGAATCGAATACTTTTAAGTATTTTTTAGTAATTCCAAAGCTGAATAAAAAAATGCTGTGAAAAATTTCGACTAATTTTTCGGACAACTTTATTTTTCAGCAATGGCAGAACTCCTACATTTCAGACATTCTACAAAATTCTATAGAATTCCACATTTTCCCTATGAATTCTACAACAACTTTTTCACAGCTGAAACATGATACGTCCGAGTTACTCTCAAAACAGAAATCTAGGAAATGTATAGAATTCTATACAATTCTATACATTTCCGCTTGACTCGAAGTTGGTCAATAAAAAGTATAAGTATGCTAACGTAAAATTCTATAGAATTCTACGTCAGCATACTTATACAATATATTGACCAAGTTTGAGTGAAGCGGAAATGTATAGAAATATCAAAGAGATGCTCTTTACATTCTGCGATTGTTACGTTTGCTACGATCATAATTTTGACGGCTTCCCTAATATTAAAGAATTCACTATCCACTCAAAAAACGCTGGAACGACTTCAAAACTTCACAATGTGTGCTATTCCATAGGCTATTCTATATCTAATTCATGGGAGATGTCGGAAGAAATTTTATAAAATCCTAAGGTTTTCCTAAAGGGCATCTGAAAAGCCTGCTAACAGAAAGGCACTTTTGATTTTTTCGATCTTATAATCAGATTTGACAAGAATCGATTTTTTTCGCAGTATAAATCCGCATTTTGCATCTGTTCACCAAACGATAATAGGTGATATATTTGATTCGTTTTGTTAAAATAAGAATAATTTTTATGTATGAATATTTATGGCTTTAATCTAGTTTTTTTATGATCAATATACAAAACAAGAATTACTTGATCAATATTCGAAATCTGAAATATGTTTACCCTTAGCTATTCGTGAACAATTAGAAAATGAATTTCGTCAACATCGATTAGATCTAGAAAAAGAACATGATGAAAGAAATTCTCCTGAACAAAAATTATCTTCATCAACTACACAAATCAAACAAACTGATGAACTTTATCGAACAGCAGGATGATGATGAAAACTTATTTGTTCTAAATGTATATCCTCCAAAGAATTTATTTTAATCAATGTTGTGACACAGTCATGAATATTTTATTTGTTGTAATATTTCAGTCGTCATTTTATTGGGTTGATGCAAAAGTATCCGCCGATTTTTTGAAAAATTTTTACAATCATCTAACAGTATAATACATTTGTTTTCTTTTTTGCATGTATGACAGTACTTGGCTAGTACCATGAAATGACATTAATAGATATTCTCAAGTATAAACACTTTAGATTAAAAAATGTCCGAGATTTCTATGCATATTCAACATTGTATTTTGTATGAGTTCCAGCTCGGAAACAGTGCAAGTGCTGCTGCTCGCAATATATGTGCTGCTCTCGGCAAAGGTGCAGTTGGTGATCGTACATATCGTGATTGGTTCAAAAGATTCCGGGCAGGCGACTTGTCATCGAAAGATCAACCGAGGTCTGGACGTCCTCTCGAATCCGGTGTTGAACGATTAAAAGCATTGATAGAAGACAATCCACGGCTAACCACACGTGACTTGTCAGCAATGGTAGGCTGCAACCAATCCACGATCGATCGTCATCTGCATCAAATGGGAAAAGTCAATAAGCTTGGTACATGGGTTCCACATCAACTCTCACCAGACAACATGCAACAGAGATTCACCATCTGCAACTTTTTGTTGTCCAAGCGCGACCGATACAGGTTTCTTCAGCAAATCGTCACTGGTGATAAAAAGTGGGTTTCGATTATCACTTATTCCGCTCGCTTCGCAGTCATCTGCTCCAGAAACACTTCGACGATGAAACGCACTTAAAGTCGGACCTAGAACGTTTCTTGCAGTCTTTGTCCAAGAAATTCTTTGAAGATGGCATTCTAGATTTGCCTAAGAGATGGGAGTATGTTGTAGATAACAATGGTATCTATGTTATTGATTGATGTTGTTTTGTTTCAATAAAATTATGAAATATTAAAAACAAGAAAAAATCGGCGGGTACTTTTGCATCAACCCAATACAAAATAAATGCCGTTGTGAAAGCAAACACATAGAATAAATGTAAAAATAGCTACAAAACACAAGAAAGCTTTATCTCTAATTTCCTGATTCTTATTGATGTCTTCGCTTTTATAGTTGAAACCAATATGTCATTTGATTTATTTAAGATGAAGTTATTTCAAAACTGCAGCAAAATTTCTTTGCGTTTTATCATGCCTGGTTAGATACAGCTCGTTAATCTGATCAAGAATATATGTTTAAGCGAGAGAAATTCAAAATACTCGGATAGGCCAGAATCGTTAAAAAAACCGCTTCATTTGAATAAAGTAAAGAAATTTTACTTTTGGCTTTTTACCAATTTTTAGGTCTGTCTGAGAAATTGTAGATAGTTTTCGTTTTTCGGTGAAAATGTCGGGTTATAGAGAGATTTGAAAAAAGTCCAAGTTATCGAATAGACCTCGTCAATAACCTCATTCGACTCAGGCTCAGTTTGTGATGTTAATTCTGAATATCACATTAGTCCTGTAAGAAATTTGATGGCGAAATTGTCAAAATATGAGTGAATGTCGGTATTTTTTTTTCTTCATCAAATTCTGTTTGTATTTTGTTCATACATTATCATATTCTAGAATGTATATTATAAAAATTTATGTATATAATATCACGTAGATAACGATTTAATTCATCATCATACGCTACACTTCATTAAATTAACAAAAACTTAAATCTTTCATCAAAACCTAAAAGACTTAAGTGTGATTCTTCTGAAATAAAAGAAAGCAAAAAGAAAATTTCAAGACCATAGTATCGAAGAGTGAAAGAGGATATTTCTAGCTGTAATCTGGCTTAAATTATTTCCCAAATAATTTTTGTATTTAAGCATGGGTGGTTCAACTGAAAATGCACTTCTTCCATAATAAAAAAATTGTGAAAACCGTTGGAAAAGTGAAACGACAGTTTGAAAGAGGAGATCGTGTACTACGAAGTGGCTGTTGTGGTTTTCCGTAGAACTTTTGCTAACAAGAGAAACGTTGATTGGAAAATAACTGTTTCTTAGCGAATCATATTTGTTGCCTGTTTGCTCAACCGATTGTAGCTTCATATCCATTGGAATTGATTAGAAATGCGTTGGATAAAGCTGTCCGACAATGTCAATAAAATGTTTTTTGTGAAAAATGATGATGTGTCGTTGTGATATGAAATGTTTTAATGATGTTTAATGTAAACTCTTTTGCACAAACAAAACAAAAGATAGATAACAAATAGTTCTATACTTGCACTTCATGTGCGGGGAAGAAAATCCACAGGTCCAGAAAAGGCTTTCCGGCAATACAATTACTTTTCGGACACAACAAGTAACTTAAAATATATTGACTTGAAAATCTCTAGCCTACAAAATGTAGATAAAAGGCCTAGTAAATTGACAGCACGATCCCGAAAGGACAGACGAGGTGAGAAAGGAACTACTAGTAGTTCAGCAATTTTTTCTGTGTTTACATGACGTAAAAGCTTTGTCTTTAGCTTTGTCTTTAGTTCACTTTTGTCAAGCTCTCAGAGGTTAGTGTGAATGATACCTTGGTTTTATTCTCTTTGGCTAAATCATTTCAAATGGTAAGTTCAAAACTTCGGAATGTAAAACAATTAGACTTTTCTGTATTCTATTTATAGGAGATCCAGAAAGATATTTTACAGACCTCTGATGCTTTCTAGGTTTCTGGAAAACCTATTGACAAAAATATGCTTCTTGGACTTTTTAGGTCCTATAAGCACATTTAGCAGACAACATTAATCATCTCCTGAAGCTTTGAACTTGTTCTGATGTTCTTTGAGTGAATAGTGAATTGATTGATTACCTATAGTCCATGCGTTTTCAAGGCTACCAATAGTCACTGAGTTCCAGTCGTGGGGCTCGTAGAAAATCCGATACAACGCCCGAGCCGCGAAAAATCAAGGACTCATTTGATTCTCATTTTCAAGAGAACGTCCTCGACTATCAGGCTATGAAGAAAAATCAATACAATTCTATTGGAAAAGCTTTATGCACGACCTAGTTTTTCAAAGATCTCCTAGAAAACCTGTTTCAGAAAACTCTTCTGAACATAATTTTGCTTATAGAAACATGTCCCCAGGTTTTCACTTTCGCATGGCGAAAATCGGAGCTCTCTAGCCGCTTTCTATCAAAAGTTATTCGGAAAATATCCACTCCTCTTGTATTTTGGCGCCGATAGTAGTTTACCTTTTATTGTTCTATTTATAGTTTCTTTCTGTTGCTGTTTGGCTTAAGTCATTGTTATTGTTCAAATGTATGCACGAAATGGACGAGTATATGGGGGTAATCGTTAGGTCACATTTATCATCGGTCTGACTTTGTTTTTTTCAAATTTTTAATTCATACGTCTCCTTGCCTGTACCGAGAAGTGTTCTCATCTGCTAGGTTGTTGTAGAAGTTCGCATACCAGTTAAAACTCTTTTTTATAGGGCTAACTATTTATTGCGAAAAAAACGATAGATGAGATCTACAGCCACCTTTCGTATCTTTTTCCTAGAGAAAAGAATGTATGAACACATACTTTGCCAAAGTTCCAAGAATAGACATCGACTAACCTGTGACAAACGTATGGCAGACACTAGTGGTGACGTGTAGTTGACTGTAGTGTCGGACGCTGGACTTTTCTTTCATTTCTTCTTTCAGAGCACGTTCAATCAAAGAATTTGATTTATCTCTTAAGGTATTAAAATGGTATGACGGACGCATAGTCGACTACCTTTTTGAGAAACCTGTATAGAAGAAAATTGTATTGAAAATTTGTCCTTTTTAGAATGATGAAGAATGAGAAAAAATATACACAAAGGCTATGCTATAATAGGCAAATGCATGCAAATGAAAAGGTATGCTATAACAAAGGCTATAATATTTTTATTTTCTCATGACTTCAAATAATGCCCTTGCTCCAGGAAAAACTCATATACTATTTAACAACATAAGACGACATAACCCTCATTATGAAAGTTGTCTCATTACTGCAGTTGTAGGGCACAAATCGGTCGTGAAAGAAGTTAATTTATTCAACTTTTGCTAAACTACTCACAGTACATTAGTGGTGGTGCATTTTCTACGAAATACACCATAATCTTTTATGATGCATTTCTTAGAAAATTGTAAGCTATAATATACACTTATGGAATGTGCATAGGCAACTTTAGATTGAGAGTTGTATCCACATAGTTGAAAATAATAAACTTTTTGATGTAACTTTTTGATGAAAATTTTCTTGGAGAATGAAAATTTTTAAAAAGAAAATCCAGCTTAATTTTGTGAAAGTAGAGATCAACCGATAAACGAACATCTATAGAAATATGAGATTATATTTATAGTTAGAAAGAAACTTTATGGCTGTTTGTAGCTCAGTTTCTCCTCTATCTAACCACATGGAAATTACAAAACTGCACCTTAACTGGAAACTTGACCTTTTGAGGAGCGGGGAGCCTTAAGAAGGATTTAATCTATTTCTATCAGTTTTCACTTCTCTTAACTGCGAAGGAATTTTATCCATATCACCGAAAAAAAAGTAAAGTTGGTTTTGAGCTGCTGAAAAGGGCCTTTTCGTATTCAGCATAGTCGATAACTCAAAAGATTCTCCATTTTTCATGAAGGGTACTTCCAAAAGTTAAGGAAAAATTTCAGACTAATATTATTTTCCCATGGAAATTTGTTTCAAAATTTTTCCTAAACTTTCGGAAGTAAGTTTACCCGTCCCGAGAAATAGAAAACCGTCTGGGTTATCGAGTGTGCTGAATATGAAAAAGCACTTTTCAACACCCCAAAACCAACTTTATTTTTTTTGTTTCGGTGATATGCCTCTCCTGAGTTTATTATACCATAGGCTGCAGAATATATACTGTACAATATGTGTCTATAGTGGAGAAGACAAAGAGAGAGTAATAGAACTATGAACAATGAGAGAAAGGTATTGAACATGTACAAAGAGAGAGAGGAATGATTGAATATACACACAGCAGGAGAGAGATAAAGTATGGTTGGAAGAGAGTCCTCGTCCATTGCGAAAATGAGTGCTCCTACACGCGGATAGTCAAGCAACCTGCAAGTATCTATGACCTCATGGATAATTTTGGGTTGTTGCAACCTCAAAATAAGTAGGTATGGCACAGTGGGCATTTAGGTGTAACTTCCGTTAAAATTCGTAAGTGAACTTTTTTGAGGTTTGAATAGCGTCGTATGTACTTCGAGTGACAGACGATTTAGTGGCGAAAAAACTTTTCATCTAAGACTGTTCCTTCTTGGAAAAGTTCTATAAGTTAATTTAATGAGATTTGTTATATTAACAGAAAATAAGAAAACTCTATTAATAAATTGCATTCCAATCAAAACATTTCCACGTTCATTAATACTAGTAGACATATCATATTTAGCTGAATAGATATTAGCATCAAAATTTGTTAATAAATCTTGCCATGTACCATTTGTAGCAATAGGTTTATATTGATTAACAACAACTGGATGATGATTAGATGAATTAAAATTAATAAGATAAATTATTGGACTATATTTTACAATTGCATCTATAGCATTTTGAATAAATCCTGGTATAATACCAAAATTTTCGCTAATATCAACACTATAAGGCATAAACGAACTATCTGGCTATGTTCAATTTCCATCCCATGATTCTAGAGTAGTCGTATTTTGTGAATCAAAAATAAAAACAAATTTATTTGAAAATCCATACGCTAAAAGACCATTTGGTTCAACACCAATTACATAATATTCTTGATGTTCATAATTATAAATATATAGAGTTACATAAAAATGATGAATCCTTATTTGAAGTTATACTTGTACCATTATACTTTGCTGTACATATGAAATTGAAAAAAAATGATCCACCAACATTTTTTTATTCAATTTGCACCTTATAATTATAATCAAACTTCATTACACTGTTCCATTAATTATCCAGATATTCTATATAATTATATTTATAGTGTTGCTGTTGGTAAAAAACAAAATAATAATCAAACATATTTTTTCTTTGCTGGTGTGTATATTCAATCATTCCTCTCTCTCTTTGTACATGTTCAATACCTTTCTCTCATTGTTCATAGTTCTATTACTCTCTCTTTGTCTTCTCCACTATAGACACATATTGTACAGTATATATTCTGCAGCCTATGGTATAATAAACTCAGGAGAGGCATATCACCGAAACAAAAAAAATAAAGTTGGTTTTGGGGTGTTGAAAAGTGCTTTTTCATATTCAGCACACTCGATAACCCAGACGGTTTTCTATTTCTCGGGACGGGTAAACTTACTTCCGAAAGTTTAGGAAAAATTTTGAAACAAATTTCCATGGGAAAATAATATTAGTCTGAAATTTTTCCTTAACTTTTGGAAGTACCCTTCATGTAAAATGGAGAATCTTTTGAGTTTAGAGGGTAAAAGATATGTCATGTTTCGATTTGAATCAACCAACACATCTTTCTTATACGAAGACAAGGCGATTTTTTTCTAACTACAATCTTTATCACTCGGTCTCCATATGTTTGTTTCTCTAGGAGTTCATGTAAGAATGTTAACCATTAGGTAATGTTCTAGGTTTATGTTAGATTGTGGCTGTTTGGCTATAATTTTTTAGTTTTAAGCCAATTTCTAGGTACACGTTTATACTGACTATTACTTGGAAATTAGTGTAGGCAATGGCGAGTCGTGAGGTGAGACGAACTAATGAATCACGACATCAGTGGCATTGGAAGTCGAGTGCTGATTAAGGTCGAGGAATGAAAATGAAGAATGGATAAAATATTCTGATATTGAATCAGAAATTATTGAGGAAGGATTTAATGAAAAAAGTAATAGAAAACTAGTTGAATTGGATAATTATTGGATTAACTTAAACGATTTTATGCAGATTAGTAAATATGATGAAAGTGAACAAAGGAAAATAAAACGAGATTTGATTGTCACGTTGGAGGACGGAGGGGGCGGATTCTGCAAAACCATCCACTAAAACGTTCAGTACCGATTCAGCTGCAGTTATCAACTTTCTTACACAATGGAGGAAAAGTTGGAATCTGTCTGATGCTGAAATAGTGTACCAGGCAACGAATGGAATAATTATCGAGGGAGAACGATTAGGCAAAGATTGTGAATCACAATGGATAGCGAGACAGTTGAGAGCTGTGAAAAACAAGAACATAAAAGAAATTCATACATGTTGCATTACACTATACAGCCGAGAATGCTTTCTGTGCAAATTAATCAATAAAATACTGAGAGAAAATGATATAACCAAAGCAGACACTCTCGGTACATTTTGCCACTTGTTATCCAGTGCTTGTCATAGTCACCTGAACTATAGAATGTAAGTCTATCGAGGTGCAAACCTCGACCGAAGTGTGATTGAAAATTATAAGAAACCGATTGGTGAGAACACAAGTTGGGACTCATTTATCTCAACAAGTAAGAACTGTAAATTAGCAGAAAGGTTTGGCAATACACTGTTTATTATTGACACGTCATCGTGTAGTGGAATTGATATATCATCGTATTCAGGATTCCCTGACGAAGAAGAAGTATTACTTCCTGCAGGAACAGCTTCTAAAGTTCTCAAAGTTGCACCTTATTCCACATCGGGGCAATATTCTGTTTATGTAGAGCTTCTACCTGAAGTTCGCATCGTCTTACTTGGAAAAACTGGAACACGAAGGTGAACTTGTCTCATCAAAATTAATATTCTTCTGTTACGGTGTACTTCTAGGCAAAAGTTCATTTGGAAATACAATATTAGGTGAAGAACGATTTGAAGCAGACTGCGATTCAGAATCTGTTACTAAAAAGTGCTCAGTTGGTGTTCGACTTTTCAATGATAAAAAGATGGTGATTGCTGATACGCCAGGGTGATACGCCAGCTTTTCCAAAAATCGCATTTTGATTTTTGTCGAAAAATTTAAGGGCAAAGGTTTTAAGGCCTTTGGAACATCGAAAACATTTTTTCCTCTAAAATTTTCGAAACACACCTTTTCTGACTCAGAATTTTGTTCTAATTACGAATATGGGATCCATAGTTAGAAAAAGTAAACATTTCGTGGAGTCGAATGCCAAAAACTGAAGGTTGGTGAAGGTCAGTCCAATTGATAGTTTCCAGGTTTTCACCAAGAAAGAGTCATTCAAAAACTTGAAACTAAACAGTTATTGGCGAAAATAGTTGCTCTATCCAAATATGTAAACATAAATACAGTTTGAGCGTATTTTGAGCAAAAATATTAAGAAAAAGAGGAAAAATGGTCAAAGATCGGCCACAATCCTTCACTGTGTGGCCTCTGCATTCCAAACGAAATCTTGAACTATGAAAAATCAGAACAACCTACCATAGGTGACCAAACTTACGGCAATTCTATAGAAATCTTATGGGTGGCTCTACAGGACCTATCCCACAGTTTACAAAAGTATTTTCGCCAGTGATGAAAAGTACTTTTTCTGGAGCAGTTTTGCATGCTGATTTCATTGGTGAAACCCCAGGTCCGTATCTATCTAGGAAAAAACGTTATTCACAAAACAATTTTCGAAAAAGATGGTGATTTTTTACTGTTTTCCAGCTAAAATACCCTATCTTTCAGAGCGTCTAGCTCCTAGAGGACACGTCGTAGAACCTTCATTCTTGCGTCAAATGAAAGAGCAAGTCGAGCTCTCCAAGATCCTGTCTTCAAAATTTATGTCAGAGTAGGTTCACCGAATCAAAAACCCATCGAAATCTTATGAAGTTTTCAACAGAAATTTCAAGCCTTCTAACGTCAATATTCAACAAAATAACTTCCTATATACTATTTTTAGCGTAGAATCCAGACATGGCAGTTGAAAAAGTGCATTCAAGGTTTTTAGAAGTTTTTTGAGCAGGTCTCTAGAAAACACTTGGTTTTTTAATGAGTTTTGAGTCGAATTTTGAAAACGTTTTTGCACACGAGCTTCTATAGTTATTTCTACCTAACACCCGGTAACAGACAGAGTATTCGTGGCTGTAGAATACTCTCGGCCAAGCATAAGTAAACGAGAACGCGTTTAGAACGCGAGTTTTCGATAATTTCTCCCTTATATATTACAGGGGCTGCAAAGAACCGAAAGCTCTGACAAGTGATTAACAGTTACGCGATTCAAAATATCTCCTCAAAAAGTTCTTTACATTCGAAGTCTCGCATTTTACAAATATACATTGTTTTCGTTTTCAACAAGTTTTGGCTGCCATAATTTTAGATTTTCTACTTCTTGTGTATAAAGGTCCTGCACTGTCATTATTGGGCCACCAATGAGCTGTGAAGATGTAAAAGTAATTATCAACTACAGATATGCAAGAAATACTTGCCAA